CCCCCCCCGCCCCCATCATTCTGAACACGACTGTTTTTACTAAGGTACAAATCACCGCTCTAGCAGCAGCAGATGTCTACACTAGTGCTGCGCTTCCTCATGAAGCAAGCCGATGTCTCAGAACAAAGCCCTTTGCACATACCATGCACTACCTTCTAGGTTTAATTTCAAACGGGCGTGCCCACCTCAGTAGCACGGCGTCGACCATAATTCACGCGGGAACAAATTAAGATCTGTACTAAAATCAGGATCATGACTGATCGCTACCTCAGTTTGCTGATCTAATCCTTCTGTTGCAGAAAAAAAATATATAAGGATGAAATATCCCCTTTCAAAGTCACTCTCTTCACTTCACAAGTGTATTGAAGACATACTCCCCACCCCCAGCTACTTAAACCTCAAAGTTGCCAGGCAATAGTGGTGTGCACCTTTAATCCCAGCACTCGGGAGGCAGAGGCAGGCGGATCTCTGAGTTCCAGGCCAGCCTGGTCTACAGAGTGAGTTCCAGGACAGCCAGGACTACACAGGGAAAAATAACTCAAAAGTTTCAGAACCATACTTTTTGGCCATTTTAAAAAAGAAACCATAGAGACCCAGCCAGAATTGAACTATGCTGGACACTGAGCCTTTTAAACAACCCACCCCTGGCTCCCTTGGAAATGTATTATCTCCTAAATGAACCCACCATTTATTAGAAAACAATACTGATTCTTAAAACCATTTTTCCTTCTTTGATGGAGGAAGCCAGGCACAGGTCTAAGAAGCTAGCAGCAGCCTTTCTGAATTTGTTTGTAAATGCCTTTCTTAAGCTTTCATGTTAGCTTTTCCGATCTTACTCCTACAAAACTGCCACCCCAGTGTCTGCTGCCTGCTGTGTGTCCCCTAGATCAGGACTCTGCTGCCTTGAAGGACAAAGGACATGCTTTTGTAGACCCCCCTGGGGCCTGAGAGCTGGGCCTCTTCCTCCAGGAAATGGCTCCCACTTTCCTCCTGTTCTTTTATTTTTTTCCTCCATCTTCTTTCCTGTAGACAATTCCAGACTGACTTCTGTCTCTGAAATGAAAGCAAACCTTCCGGGAAGCAGTCGCCTGTCCTTCCTTTGTTTAGCCGATGAGACAACAGTTTTACGTTTTCCCATCTGACGTGGGTACCCTTTGAGCCCTGCACAGGTTAGTATCAGATCAGGTGTCCCCTCAAGGATCCTAAAAACCTGTCAGTAGAGCTCACTGAGAGCTACAGTCGCTGCCACGGGTCACCCTGGCGGGGTTTAAGCCACAGATGTAGCACACAGCAGGAAGGCACAAGGAAAGGAAGACATGAACCCCAAGGTGCTCTGACCTCTCCCCAATTCCCAGATCTTGGAGTCCATACGCAGTTCAGGGAGGGGATCATCTGATGGGCAGATTCTAGTCCACAACAATACCTGACTCTCCACATTCACAAAATATCCATGGTTGGTAGGACCGCGTGCGTGCGTGCGTGCATGCGTGTTCGTGTTCCATAGAACCCAGATGCAGACTGGCAAAGCCCTTTGGTGTGAGTTGAGGGTCTGAGGGATGAATTGTTAGGACTGCACATTTTTTGAAGAATGTCACAGTAAACTTTCAAACTGTTGCGGGCACTCTGTGGAGCTCAAGTTCCTGCTGCAGGTCAACATCATTGTCCAACAGTCTTACTTGTGTTCACACAACAGAATCTGACTTGGGTGCCCCTTGAACTATCCATGGAACAATCCGTAGTGAGGTCCCACTTACTCTACAGCCTCAGTCAGGAGTAATTATCAACGGATCAAGAACTCCCAAGGGAAGATGGTCTCTCTTGAGTTTTCTGTCTCTATATATTTGCCATTCCTAAAGTGGCTTTAAAATTTAATTAAGAAAGGGGAAAGAGCTGGGCTGGTGGTGGTGGCGGTCTCAGCGTTCAGGAATGGCTCGGCCTCTGATATCTGTAAACTGAAGGAACCGTGTTCTGACGTCTGAAATCCAACAGTAAAGAGACTGTGTCTGTTGAGAGTTCAGATTTGGGTTGATATTTATTCCTGAACACAGCAGAAAAGACCAGAAATGCAAGGAAATGCATTTGGGATGCCACCTCTCTCCTATCTGCCACTGAGACCCCGAGACACAGAGAGCCTAGAACTGAAGGTTCTACCCATGTGCAAACAGAACCCCCTCTACTTCAGAATCCCACCCCCACCCCTCAATCTCCAGCTGGGCTGGAGCATCAGGCTTGCGTCAGGATGACCTCGGCAGATAGCGAAGCCAGAGAAGCCAGAGGCTGAGCTTAGCTTTCACTCACTCATCCTAGTATACTTTATTTAAAAAAAAAAGTCTCAGTGGTATCATCTAAATGGATACCTGTATCTTTAAATTATATAGGGAATTTTGTATGTTTAAATAATCGTACTGGGTTCCATAATGCTTATCTTAGAAACTAGTAAAAGAAAAAAAAATATATAAACTGCGTGTCTGTGAGTGCCCCTCCTTAGAGCGTTCACCTAGGTTCCCTGTGTGTGTAGTGTGATGGTTATTGTGGATATTTCCAAGTGTCGTACGTAGGTGGCTGTGTTAACGGGAGACTGCTTAACTCTTCCCCTGCATTCTTAATGGTAACTCCTGCCCACGTCACTCAAAGCAGTATTGTCCCTTCCCGTCAGTTCGGTCAGTTGCAGTACCGGTAGCTTCCTGCTTGGGACGGTTACCTAATGGTGTCGATGTACATCTGTAGTATGTACATGTGAAAGTGCCTTCCTATCTTAGAGAACCTTTAGCCTTGCTTTTGTACTGTCGCCCACGACGTCCCGCCCACCGGACTGTTCCAAGACGCCCTCCACTTGCTCCCAGCCTTCCCACCACCCCACCCCACCCCACCACCATGTCTCCCTGCGCCTCCGTGCTCAGTCGTGTGTGTCTTGCATCCATGTGGCTTTATCAGACTGTCTTGTTACCCTCCTAGATGTGACCGTGCCTTTCTCGCCTGTCCACAGTGACTCCCTGCCATCCGTCCCAGGCTTCTCCCCTCCATGACCCCATGACCCCACTCACACTGCAGCCTGCCATCCCGTCCCTCTTGCTCTAGAATCCTGGCTCTCCTCTCTGAGGTGAGGAGAACGGGGATGCTTTTACAGTCCTGGAAGAAAAGGAAATGTTGTTGTTAATCTGTCGTGACAATGCACTTTTCTGTATAGTACTGTACTTCTTGGCATGTACCATTCCAGGCTTCAGTATACGGTTGGGTTTGTTCAAGGTGTAGCTTTATAATAAATATGATAGTTCTGGCCACTTTTGTCTGCTTCTGAGTTACTGTGACTCTGAAATTTCCCCTTTTTCATTCTGCTCCCCTAGAGAGGAATCTAATGGGTTGTATTAAAGAATGGGAAACTAGAACCTTTTTTGGTTTTGTTTGAAACAGGGTCTCTCGTCAGATGGTGGAGGTGCATGCCTTGAATCCTAGCTCTCGGGAGGCAGAGCCAGGTGGATCTCTGTGAGTTCAAGGCCGGCCTGGGCTACAGAGCGGGATCTGGGACAGGCACCAAAACTAGCAATTCGTATTACATTTGGCGCCCAACATGGGGCATGGACCCTCCCCCCTGAGACTACGAGTCTCATGCTCTACTAACTGATTTAGCCGGGTGTCCACCACCCAGAACAAGAAATAGCACCTCAGCCACTGTTAACCAGTATACTGAGGAATCACACCATAGCCGATTTCATCCAGTTTGACTGCCCACATGAGGGCTCCTGCAGTTCTTATATCTGGTTCTTTTTGTTGAATTTTATGCTAGGAACTGGAGAATCAGCTCAGTGGTGGATCTCCCAACAAGTACAAGCCCATGTCCAGTGCCCCCAGCACTGGGTA